GATCCGCGATAAATGAAAAACCGTGAAGTAGAAATAGTAGTACAAGTAGTAGTTTATTTTAATATATGTATGTATGTATATATATATATATATACATATATATATATATATATATATATATATATATATACAGTATATATATATATGTGTGTGTGTGTGTGTGTGTCAAACCTCTTCTGTACTTTATAAACAGATTTTTGTTGACTATCAACTTACCTAATAAATTATTTAGATGTTGGAATAGAAAAAAATGTATGATTTTGTGATACAGATGATATAATCAGAATGTCTAAAGACGGATTTACATTTCAAAGATCACTGGGGTTTATTTTAGATTAGAAATCTCATAAGCATACAAAAAAGTTTTAATAGGCTTACAGCTTTAAAAAAGGCTACAGTGTTTTAGAATGAGAAAGAGAAGAAAGACTTCATATGTTGTATTATTTGTTTATTGCTCCATATTTGAGATGCTTCCGAGACTTCACTTTTGTTTATATTACAATTTATACTACACACTGTTTTAGAATTATATATGCATGTATTTTTATATATACATTTTTAAATATTATATTTAAAAAAAATCCAAAATATAGAATTTTAATATTAGTTTTGTACAAAAAAAAACCTGCTGTCATATAAACGACAGATTTTGTGATTTCATGAAGATTATTGGAAGAAAGTTGACTTTATTGTTTTTCTCCTTCAAACATTCAGACTTCTCTGCAGAAATCACCATGAATGCTTTCAGGCAGTTTTTAACAAGTCAAATATGAACTTTTAAACTAAAGATTTAAACCCGAGTCTACTTTGGATCCAGTGGGGGTTTGTTTGGTCATGTATCTCCTCAGACCCAGATCAGTCACAGGACTCGGGTCAGCTGATGGGAGGAATCACGAGCACGGCTTCCTTTACCAGAACCACCTCCATCCCATAGTGCTCAGTGACCCCGTTTCCTCCATCAGGACTGAATCGGACCAAAACACAGCAAGTCCTGATCTGAAACATGGATCTTACTGCCTACAGTCAGTTTAAAACTCCTTTCAATTTGGGTTTTAACCTACTTGGACTTGTTTCAGAACACAATCAGAAAAAACTGCAGGAACACAACAGAAGGTGAATAAAAAGCCCTTATTTTTTAACGTTATTTCATCATCTCCTGGCCATGTTGCCAGGTAATGAGGGGATGGTCACAGCTCAAACTGATCGTACCGAGCTAAAGTTTGCTGTGGTAGTTGCTGAGAGTCATTAATGCACACGAGAACGAGCAGAACGTTTCATAAACATCTCCATCGTTTCTTAACGTGAGCTGAACTCCATCTGAAAGTCTGGGGTCAAAGACGGCGGGTGACATGCATTCCTCCAAGGGAAGTGAGGCCTTTGATAGTAAACGATGAGTCGGCATTCGCTCATCTGAACCGTTTCAAATTTCAGCTGTGCAAACAGCTAAACGTTCGGCTCGTTCGTTTTTGTACTTTGAATTATTAAACTTTATTTAAAATCCTCCGTTTTCAGCTCCTCTCATTTCAACAGCTCGGTTTCCGCCGAGTCATTCGTTACTCAGCGTTATTTTCCACAGAAAATGCTCGTGAGAATTTATTTTCGCAGAAAACCAAAACTAAAAGTGACGGATGAAATGTGACGACTGAACGAAGCCGAAAAATAAAACCAAGCTGAGAGAAACTTTTTTTTTTTTTCACATCCTCTGACGTCAAACAAACAGCAGCTTCTTACAAAACTTCCTCAGAAATTCCAAAGTGAGGCACGAGTCCAGCCAGCCCCAACACGTCTTCACGAGAAGTTCAACTGGTTTTGGTCCTTGAACGCAGCACAGCCAGTCAGGAGGTGTTGGTGTTTAGTCAACAGTCTGAAATGAGGTGTTTACTGTAAACGAGTGGAAAGAGTCAGAAATAACGTGGAAATCATCGGGAGGAGCGCCTCTCCGTCGCAGGTTGTTTACTCCCATGTCAACAGTTTAACACAAAACGTTTTATTTTAAACATAGTAGTTAGCTGAATCGGATGTAAGAAGCCTAAATTCAGTTTTTATTTCTCATCAGATCAGTCAGGAGAAATTCCTGATTTTGATCTTTTACAGACTGAATGTTGCAGAGAAACTTTTATTTCAGCACAGGAGCTGTTTGATCTCAAAGTTTTTACTGCCACAAAGAAAAAATAACACAAATGACATTTCCTGCTGAAATGCAGAGGCGCAAAAGATTAAAGAACACAGAAAACAAACAGGAAACAATGAGCTGCTGACTCAGCAATCCCTGAAGGAATGCCTGTCGCCCGCCACCTGTCGTGGCCAACTCTTAAACTAGGATCAAACGTTGTGGCTGAGAAGCGACGGAGTTTTGGTCAAACTATAAATATAAAATCACGCGAGATCAGATCGAAGCCCAAACGTGAGCTGATGACTCTCAGCTGACCACAACTAATTTTAGCTGAATTCTAGCTGTTGTGTCTTTTTAGGTCCGTTGGCTGTGGCGGCCATCTTGAGTCAGGTTGACTAAGTGTCCTTAATATGCTGTTATTTCTTTATTCTACTAAAAGTTATTTGTGACACGTGAAAACGCCATCCATCATCTTTTACCCACTTCTTTCTTTTCGGGTTGTGGGGGTCACTGCGAGAGACTGGACAGGTCTCCAGTCCATCACAGGGACACAGAGACAAACCATTCACTCACCTAGGGACAATTTAGTTACCAGTCAACCCAACGTGCAGGTTTTTGGTCAGTGGGAGGAAACCAGAGTACTTAAAGAAAACGCATGCAGCACAGAGAGAACATGAAAGGCCCTCAGCCGGGATTTGTTCCGGCAACCTTCTTGCTAAGAGGCAGCAGCTCTACCAACTGTGCCACCGTGCTGCCCCGAAAACGCCTAATTACTGTAATTTCTGGAATATTGAGCACACTTGAAGCCGCGCCCGCTAAATTAAAAAAGAAAGTTAAAATTTTACATACCGTAAATAGGCCGCACTTGTCTATAAGCTGCGGGTGTTCACGTTATAACGAGATATTTACACAGAGATTTTTTTTTAAATTATTTTTAATTAAATACGTACCGGTAACACACACACAAATACAGTAAATGTTTTTTTTTCTGAACAGTGCTTGTAACGCAGTTGATAAAAAAATTTAATAAAAAACAGTAGTCTACCAGGAAGTCATTGATCGCTACCCCCCAAGAGAGATGTGTATTGGGGAGCTATACGAGCACCTGGGTGTGACGAAGCTAAATGTTTTGATGGCATGAAACTCGTTAGCCCATCAAAAAAAAAAATCCATAAATTTGCCGCAGCATTTTATAATCTGCGATGTTCAAAGCGTGTGGAAAAAGTAGCGGCTTATAGTCCGGAAATTACGGTACTTTAACAAACTGTTTATTGGACTTTTCACCTAAGGACATCAGCGTTGTATTAACGGTGCAATGCATTCTGGGACGGACATCCACAGGTAGCAGTGGAGTTCATACTGAAAAGTTCTCATGTTTGATAATAAAGTTATGTATTGTATCAGCCCTTGAGCACCATATGAAACGATCAACTCATGATGTTTAATTAATTAGCCCTGGAGCTAACATGAAACCTAACCCCCCCCCCACACACACACACACACACACACACACACAAACCTCTGCTGTCTGTTCTCAATCAGCCGGACGGCACCAGACTGCTGTCACACGTGTGCACGCCTGGTGATTAATGAGTGTTGCTCTGTGGTCCGGGTGGAACCAAGATTTACAACAGATTAGAACCCACAACCCAAATGAGGACAAGAGGATGATGATGGACGGACGTCTAAAGTGCCTTTAAGTGTTTATTAATATGTAACTATGTGAGAACATGTTTGATGCTTATGATTGAAAGCAGCTCTGTGCAGCAGAAGCTCTCAGCACCTCTTCGTCCCTCCTCTTCATCGTTTTCAGCTGCAGGCTGACTCTGTTCTACGTTCTCCTCTGACGCGCTCCGCTTCAAATAAAAGATCTGAACGTCAGACGTCGTCCACAGTTAACCTTCAAACTGGATGCAGTTTGCACCAGAGGCACCTGCCATTTACCCAGAATGCACTGCAGCATAAACAACATGGCAACGTCTGTCTGACATTCATTTTTTTTTAAACTATAAAAACTAAAGAGCCTGCAGTACTTTTAAAGTCCTGTTTATAGATGAACTTAGTGTTTATCAAACAAGAGTAGTCGGAAATCCCTTTAATAAAATCTATCCAGTGCTTAATGAGATATTTTGCTAACACAGACACAGGCAATAATCAGGTGACTCTGATTAAACTGCAACCAAAAACTGTCAGGAATGTCAGAGTTACGTTTGAACACAAATGTCCGTATTTCCCCAGGATTTTGTTTCACCAACGTGAGATACGAGCTTTTAGGAAAAATAAATCCTCTACATTTAAAAAGAAAAGCTAAAAGGCAGCAGAATATTTTTAGACGATCTCCTCTCAAACGTTTTTATCTTTTAGAAATTAAAACGAAGTCTGAATCGAATCTCTGAGGAAGAATTCAAAATAAAACCTGTCCTCCAGCACAAAACGCCAAGTCCCGGTTAAATACGAAACAGGTTCTGAGACGAAACAAACACGGCCGACCCGTTTCAGAGATGAACCTGTCCGGTCAGGCCTCACAGCGGCGCCGGGCCCAGCCTCAGACCCTGATCCGGAACATGCCCTGGTTCAGCTGCAGGCGGAACAGCCGGCAGTTGGCGATCCGCAGGGCGGCGCAGGCCGTTCTGGACAGGTCAGAGGTCAGCATGAGCTTGGTGCGCTGCCACCGCCCCGTGTGGCGGCCAAACTCCCGGATGTAATCGAAGCTCGTTCCTGCACACGCACAGAACAAACGGGTCAGTACCTACGGTCCAGGAGAACTCCCATCAGAGCCACAGGTTTCCGGTCCGTTTACCGACCCGTGTCCAGGTCTCCCACCACATAGATGCTGGCTCCGATGGGGACGGCGCCGTAGACGAAGGACGAGCTGGTCGGGATGCAGAGGGTCTGGTCATCCAGCAGCATCCACCTGAACCAGAATTCATTTGTTAAAAGGAGTTGCTCCTTTAACCTGCACGGTACCGATCCATACGACCCAAAGAACCTTTGACACAATCCCCGTTCTGTGTTCAGGTGGAAAAAGACCTTCTGGACCCAACACGAACCTTCTGATCTCATCGTGGTAGAACTCAGACTTGCAGGTCATCATATTTCTTTGTTCGGGGTTTTCGCTCTCTTGGCTCCGGACTCCACCGAACACATAGAGCTCCTGACCGATGCCGCACGCCACCGACCCGAACCTGACCAGGAAGGAACAAACAAACACACAGAGGAAGGAACCAAATGAAAAACATCAAGATCTGTGATGTTTTGTTCTCAGCTGGGATGGATGTTAAACAGTTAAAACCAGAGACGGGACAGATTCACCAGAAGAGTTGATCAGAAACAAAAAGGGTCAAACATAAAACTACAGAACATCCATCCTTCATCCATCCTTCATCCATCCAACATCCATCCAACATCCATCTAACATCCATCCAACATCATCCTTCATCCATCCAACATCCATCTAACATCCATCTAACATCATCCTTCATCCATCCAACATCCATCTAACATCCATCCTTCATTCATCATCCATCCTTCATTCATCATCCATCTAACATCCATCATCCATCCATCATTTATCCTTCATTAATCATCCATCTAACATCCATCCATCATCCATCTAACATCCATCCTTCATCCATCATTTATCCTTCATTAATCATCCATCTAACATCCATCCATCATCCATCTAACATCCATCCTTCATCATCTATCCATCATCTATCCTTCATTCGTCATCCATCCATCATCCATCCTTCATTCATAAACCATCCGTCATCCATCCTTCATCATCCATCTAACATCCATCCTTCATTCATTATCCATCCATCATCCATTCAAAAACCATCCAACCACCTTCCATCATCCATCCAATATCCATCTTCATCCATCCATCAATCATCATCCATCCATCATCCATTCATTTTCCATCCATCTACATCCATCATCCAACATCCCTCCATCCAACCTTCATCCATCATTATCCATCCTTCATCCATCATCATCCATCTATCGGGGGCATCAGAGAGGTCCAGACCTCTCTCTACAGCCACCTCTTCCAGCTCTTCTGGGGGGATTCCAAAGTGTTCCCAGACCAGATGAGAGACATAGTCTCTCCAGAGTGTTCTGGTCCTTCCTGGGGTCTCCTTCCAGTTGGACATGTCCAGAACACCTCCCTATGGAGGCATCCAGGGAAAATCCTTACCATAGTTCAGGACCAAAGGTGATGGTAGGAACATAGACTGACTGGTAAACAGAGCTTCTCCTTGCAGCTCAGCTCCCTCTTCACCACAACAGAACGAAGCAGAGTCCACAATACTGCTGAAGCTGCACAAATCCATCTGTTGATCTCCCGCTCCATTCTCCTTTACTGTGAACCCTGAGATACCTGGACTCCTTCACTTGAAGCAGAGCCTCATCCCAACCCAAAGAGGACAGTCCACCCTCTGACTGAGGACCATGTCCACAGATCTGTAGGTTCTGATCCTCAGCCCAGCTGTGAACATGTCCAGTGAAAGCTGAAGATCACGGCACGATGACACCAACAGAACAACATGATCCGCAATAGACAGTATTCTGAGGCCACCAAACCGAACTCCTTCTACCCCCTGGCTGCACCGAGAAATTCTGTCCATAAAATTTATGAACAGAATTCGTGACAACAGGCAGCCCTGGTGGAGTCCAACTCCCACCCTGAAGGGGTCCGACTTACTGCTGGCAATGCCAAACAAACTCTTAAAACGCTTGTATAGGGACTGAACAGCCCATAGAAATGGGTCCCCAACCCCAGACTCAGAGTCTCTTCCCCCGTCACAGGGTACCTCGAGGAACATGGTCCTAGATTTCTAAAGTGAAGATAGAGTGAGTCTGGGGCTATGAGAGAAGCAGTGCGTTTTAGATTATTTCTGGAGAGGACATCATCTTAAATGAAACTTCATATGATGGGAGAACAGACACTTCAGGCCTGAAAGTTCAGGTTCTGGTTCTGAGGTGGAACTCTTACTGGAGATGTTAGACAATGGATGGTGCTGAGGCCATTTTTACTCCATCTTTGTGATGAAAACAGGAGGAATCAGCTGCAGCAGCATCCAAAGTTTTACACAAACCTGCACTGAAAGAGGAGGAGGTCCGGCTCGAACCACCGCTGGAGAGAACAGAAACTAAAGCACGACGTCACATGACGCTGCGGCACATTTTAAAGGGCTGAAATTAAAGCACAGCGTGACTCTTCTGCAACATTTTCACACATCGGAGTGATCGAGGTGCAGCTGAAGTCAAACTGAAACAAAAACCAGGCGTTCTGGAGTTGTGACAGTGACCACAGAGCCATGTGTCACTTCCTGTTGTGCAAAAAGCTGCATGTACCGAGGTAAACGTACGCACACTCAACAGAAATGTTGAAAGACGGAGTTGCTGCCTGAACGTTCTTCTTCTCTAAAGCCCAGCTGATCTAAGCTGACAAGATGGCCGACATTTGGACGTATAAATTGTAGAAGAATAAAGAGAACCAAGAATTGTTCAATCTGCTGACAGTGGCTCATTGGGGTCACAGTGGAAACTACACATTTATGTCTGTCACTCCATGACAGCACTCCTAATAAAACCAACATCTGACAGGGCTGCGACGGAGGGACACGAGGTCATGGACCGAGTCTCAAGGAAGTCTCCAATATGTCCAAATTTAGGTGACAAATGTCTCCGAGAATGTCAGGTGTCTCCAGCTCCTGACTAACCAGTCCAGTCTCCTATGTATCTTTACCTGGACTCAAACCAGTCTCCTACAAGTCTTTACCTGGACTCAAACCAGTCTCCTACAAGTCTTTACCTGGACTCCAACCAGTCTTCTACAAGTCTTTACCTGGACTCAAACCAGTCTCCTCCAAGTCTTTACCTGGACTCTAACCAGTCTCCAACTGGTCTCAAATTCATTTTTTCCAACATGAACAATTAACACTCACTTTGATATAACTGATTTTTTATCTTGGTCGTTGGATGTTCTGCTGCCAGCAGTCAGAGCTCAGTGTTCCTCATGGAGACGCAGGTTTTTGATTCTTTCTTGTTTTGTTTTGTCCAAAACTGCAGGACAATTAAAAACTGTATTGTAAGAGTTTCTTCCTGCTGTTCACCTTCGCTCCTTTAGAGGACACAGGCCCGTCCACTGCTGGGTTTTAGGGTCGAAGGATTCGACGGAGTCAAACAGCTTTCCATCGGAGCCCCCACCGATGGCGTAGATCTTCTTATTCATGGAGGCGTAGCAGCCCACCTGAAGGAGGAAACAACTCTGTGAAAAACTACCCAAGTCTTTCTTTAGGACAGAATTAGTGCACGTGTGTGGAGTTGATTAATAAAGATATCAGGTCTTTTCCTCACACAGGTCATTCTCTGATGTCTTCTCTGATCAGTTTCATGTTTAACTGCCTCCAAAAACATTTTATCTCCTGAACTCAACTGATGCCCAGAAGAAGCTGAGGCTCCGTCTCTGTCTGACCAAAAGGCTTCAGCTGTGCTTCAGCGCCCTCTGTTGATCAGACTCTGTCATGTCACTGTTCGGTCTGCGTCCTCACAGTAAATCATTTAATCTAACCAGGCTGAGTCAGGTCCTCTAGACCTGGACGTTTTCTTCTTTGTTGAAACGTTTTGTCTTTTATCCAGAAGACTTCTTCAGTCTGAGGAGCTACAACAAACTCTGTCTTATAAGTAGCACCTTCTCATAGTGGATCAACCAGTTTGTTGGTTACATCCAGAACTAGTTGCTCACATGTAAAAGGAGGACCATCAGCCTAACAATTGATCCTTAGCGCCCTGATGGCCGCTTGCTATTCACAGAGGGCAGAATGATACTAGCAATAACAGCATTGTAAGAGGGGGCAGTTGGACATGGAGGCCCCCGCCCCGTTTAACCTCCTAAGACATGAACTCTTGCATATGTGGATGCCAGGTCCTAGGAGGTTAATGATGGACAGTTGTCTTCACAAAGATGGCCTCCTTTACTCCTCTCTCAAACCATCGTTCCTCTCTGTCCAGGATGTGCACATCTTCATCCCTGAAAGAGTGACCGCTGGCCTGGAGATGAGTGTAGACCGCAGAGTCCTGGCCTGATGATGTTGCTCTTCTGTGCTGGTCCATCCTTTTGGTCAGTGGCTGTTTAGTTTCCCCGATGTAAGACTGATCACCCTCCTGACACTGAACAGCAGACACAATATTACTCTGTTTCTGCCGGGGGACTGGATCTTTGGGATGGACCAGTTTTTTTGTCGTAATGTATTTTGGGGTTTAAAAGCCACTGGGACGTTATGTTTAGAAAATAAACGTCTCAGTTTCTCTGATACTCCCTCAACATATGGAATGACCACTGGTCTGGGTCTGGGTTCCTCCTTTTTACCTGATGGCTGGCTGGATATCCACATTGGTCTAGAGCCTGTCTTGTGTGGGATTTCTCCTTCTGCCTGGCTCCTGAGTTAGTGGGGATGCTGTCTGCTCTGTGGTACAGAGTCCTGATGACTCCTAACTTGTGCTCCAGAGGGTGATGGAAGTCAAACTGCAAATACTGGTCTGTGTGGGTGGGTCGAAAGATGAAACGTTTCAACAACGAAAAATTTGTCCAGAGGACCTGACTCAACCTCGTTGGATTTATCTACCTGGATTATTGGGCATGCATCAGGATGAATCGTTTAATCTGACTCTCCTTCAGTAATAAATCCCAGAAAAATTACAACAATAATTTTGTTTGATCAGAATCGTCGTGAATGTCTCTGAATTATAAGTCAACGTTTAAATAACGACCGAAGAAATACAATAATAAATCTCCTAATAAATTATAAATTTTGATCCCACTTGATATACTTTTATTTATAACTGAAGTAAAATTTTATACAAACACGAAGTTTTAGCTCAAAATCTGTAAAACTGACTAAACTTTGTCCATTTTTTAGGTTTTCTAAACTCAGCTGGCTTCAGCGGCCATCTTGGATCAGGGTAACTCCACTTGAGATGTTCACTGAAAGATGAATTTCTGTGACTTTCATTTCAAATTGTCCAGTTGTTCATGAGTTTAGATTTATTTTTGTACAATTTTATACACATTAAAAGATCTTTTCCATACATTTGTACCGGTATTGATAACCGGGCTGTAGCGGGTCTCGATGTTCTTCGTTACCTTGCGGATCATCGTCATGCTCGTCTGCGTCTTCCAGGTGTTGAAATGTGGGTCAAAAACTTCCACCGTGGTCAGCGCCGCAATGTTGTTCTCTCCTCCCAGGACATAGACCAGACCGTCCAGCTCCACCACACCAAAGTTCTTACGAGCCTGAGGACAAAAGAGACGCCAGAGACCAAAATACTGAGAGACACGGTTGGACAAAGACGGGACGAACAAACTGGTTCTGGTCAGGTCGAAAGAAGAAGATCAGACCAGGTGTGACAGACTTCTGGCCCTAAACCTGGAAGTGTTTCACTGTTTTTATTAGAATATTAAATATTATAGTAAATATTTTATGTCCTTTTTTTTACTTCAAGTACTTGAAGTATCTTTACCAGAAAGAAACTAAAGTGCTTGAAGTACCTGCAGCATGGGGGGTACGGGGCTCCAGGAGTTGGACTCCGAGTCGTATTTCTCGACTCCGTCCAGAACCATGTGGTTCTCGTCGGTTCCACCCATCACGAACAGAAAGCCCTCTGACACACAGAACAGAACCGGGTTACTCACCGACCTGCTGCTGGGCTCACATTAATGAGTTTTCTATGAGGTTCTGATGGATCCGGGAGCGGCACCGGACTCACCGGCAGCCACCGCCCCATGGCCGATCCGAGCGACGCTCATCGGCTGCAGCTCAATCCAAGCCTGCCTGTTGGTGTCGTAGAGCGGACACATGCAGCGAGTTGCAGAGGTCGGTTTCTTGGTTCTGGGCAGAAGAAAACAAGACCGGACAAAAACCTCAGAAAAAAAATCAGAAATTACATTTTTTGGTCAAACCCAGAGTAAAATCCGTTAAAATCAGATTAAATACTGCTGAAATTAGTTGACACTAATCTGATGACACGAAAAAAAGTCAGTCTGCAAGCTAAAAAAAACAAGCTCAAAACTAAAATTATCAAAAGGCTAGACAGACGGTAAAAGTAGCAAAAGGTTGATAATTGATAAAAGGTTATCTAAAGGTAGAAAAACACTAGCAAAAAGCTAACAGTAGCATAAGACAGAAGAAGAGCAAGAAGCTGAAGAAGTTTTTAAAAAAGAACAAAGTTTCTGAAAGACTTAAGAGACTGAATGCATTTCTACATATCTATATTTGTAATAAACTAAAATATTATATAAAAACTGTATATGCATGTACTGTATAGAAGTAAAAAGGTGTGGTCAGCAGCTCACCTGCGATCTTCTCCACCTGCGATGACGATACACTCTGAGTAACCTCTGGGCTTGAAGGCGGCGAGCAAGGCCTCGCCCTGCAGCGGGCCGTCCGTCAGAGCCTTCTGACAGAACTCTCGGATCACCTCCCTCATCAGCGGCTCCCCCATGGACTGAGAACCCGACACAAGTTGGCTTTAATCTCAGAAAGAACTAATAAAAACTGGATTCATCTGGATCAGGTTGTGTTCAACCAAACAGGAACACCTGAATTCAGAAGATGAGGTTTTAAACAGCTGAAGAACGTTTCTGCTTCAGCTGCTGCCTCTATTCCCGTCTTCCCATGCTACTGTTAGCTTTTAGTTATGGATCTGCAAAGTATAGCTTTCAGTGAAATTAGCTTTTAGCTGAAGTTTTGCTCATTTTAGCTTTGAGCTAAGGGTTTGATTATTTTAATTTTTATTTATGGTTTTGCTAATTTTAGCTTTTTGCATCTATTTTGCTCATTTCAGCTTTTAGCTATTGTTTTGTCAGTTTTTTGATACTGTAACTATTTTGCTAATTTTATTTTTCATCACTTTTAGCTACTAATAAGAAATAACTAAGGAATTTTAGCTAGTCACTGGTCTGTTAGTTTTAGCTTCATTACATCTGAGCTCAGCGTTCACTCGGCTTCTTGGCAGAAAATGTTTTTTGTTTGTTTTTTTAATTTGTTTAAAATTAGTTTTAGATCTGTCTGGATGGACAAACTTGTAAAACTCAAGAAGCAAATCGTATTTTTACCATTTCAATCGTTTTAAAGTGGCTCAGACAGATGAAACTCTTAAAGTCTTTAAAAACGTCATTAGTTTTAGCAGATTTATAAGAATTGACAGGGAGGGTTTTAAAGAAGAAATCCTGACAGAAAACAACATTTTCTCCTTCAGAGCTTGTCCCGACATGAGTTTACTCCACCTGCTCCCTCAGGTAACTCAGGTCCAGGCCCTGCAGCCACACGGCTGACATCACCTCCTTCATGTGGACCTGCGATAAACACGAACAATAAACTCAGTAATCTAATCTGAATGTTTCTGTTTTGCTTCCAGCCCCGGCTCTGAGCGCCACGCACCCTGCGGCCGTTGGGATCGTCGGCGAACCATCGCACCACCGCCTCCAACACGTGCTTCTCGTTCCCCACGTTGAGCTTCTCCATGGCCAGCAGCTCGCAGAGACGATCGTGAGGAAGCTCCCTGAACTCCTCGGTGAGCGCCACGTCGTGGAAGTGCGTCTGCAGGAACTCGGTGGCGGCGTGATGAACGTGGTGCAGGCAGTAGTGCAGGGAGAAGAGGCGGATGCCGATGCAGTTGTCGGCGGTGATGCAGCTCTCCAGGAACTGGCAGCAGAGCAGCTTCAGGTCGGTCATGAGCAGCAGGTCCGACGCCTGCACCATGTCCTGGATGGTGTCCTCACTGAGCGTGATCTGAGAGGAAACGACACAAAAACAACAAAAACTAAATGGGATGAAGAAGAGAAAGAGGAGCTCACACAGATCAGATGATTTATGTTACTACAGCCTGATGCATAAAACCTTTAAACATATTTGCATGTTAAAACTATATTAGTTGTCATGTTTTTTTTACTGCAACCCTGGTCCTAAAAGAGTTGGGACTTTAAAATTAAAATAGAATGCATCCTATTAGCCCATTTTTATTTAAGGTGGAACACAGTACACAAATAACTGACTTAAATTGGTTAAAATAAAGTGAAACGGGATTAAAAATCAACATCAGGTGGCGTCAAGGGGAAGAAAAGTTTTATGAAGGGATTTAAAAACAGCCTCCCTGGTTGCTCCACGTTTTAGGAGCAGCAGCAAAGAAACACGATCCCCTCGAAGCCTTTGCTTAGTTCTTGGGACCCTCAAGATCAACTGGTCTGCTGACCTGACAGAATGGGAAGAGGAGGTGTAGCAGCTTGGTGAGATGAGGCTGGATAAGACGATTTAAAGCTTTAAAACCAATTAAAATAACTTTTAAATTAATCCTAAATAATACATTTAAAAAAAACCTCAAGGTCATTAATATGTTCCGCCGTACAAGTCGCTCCTGCGTAGAAGTCGCATCAGTCCAAAAATGTCTAACAAAGTGGACAAAAACATAAATAAGTCGTTTTGCCATGTAAGTCGCATTTATTATGCATCACCGCTGAGGGCCGGTGTTGTGCCATAAATCGATTGGCTACCAAACGGCGGCCGCGTGAGTACACAAGGGAGGACTTCAAGAAGAGTTTAACAAGATTAACACTTAAAAACAATTATTTGTTTGCTCGACATTACTGTATATCAAAGGTGTGTCTCAGTTTAACTTTTCCTTAATAAATGCACTTTAATGGTCAAAACAGCTTCATTTCGCCTGGGCACTGGAGCAGGGACGAAGGCTCCGGCCATGAGCTGTGGAGTCTTCCTCTGCCCACACCTCGCTGCTTCCCGGGGCCGCGGAACACGCGCTTCGCTGCCCCCTTCCTCCCAGTTCAGGCGACCGACGGACGGACGGACGGACGGACGGACGGACGGACGGACGGACGGAC